CCGAGGGCCACCAGTCTGTACCCCACCACCCCTCAAACCCAACTACCCCCTTTCGGTCTTCTGATGCGTTACACCGAGTCCTCCACGCGCGACGTACCGCCGTCGATGGTACCAACACGATTGATTGGTTAACATGTCTGATTCACCTCTAGTCTGGCCTTGATTATCTATCTCTCGACTCTGGCGATAGCTTATCGAATCCCTCCTCAAATCGTTTTCTCTTTTCCCTGCTCGTTCTCTGTTACCCTCTCCGCTGTACGTCATACCATTCAAATTGCCGTATTAAATCTCTTCTTTTGATCAGGTGCAAACTTTTCCCCTTCTGTCGCGTATTTTACGTGCTCTCACATAATTAAACTTCCCCTAATCCGTCCATAGTGTGCCTCGATGATCACCCCCTCTTCTGCTCCAACAGTCAAATTCTTCTTTTTTGTGATAATTTACTAAACCTTGTCGGAATTATGGTCGACGTCTCTTTAATACTGCTCTCGGACTCGAGGGAAATATAGTTTTCAATCCGTGTATTTAAACTCATAACTGTAGATTAAAGTTTCCTGCTGATAACAAATTAATAATATTTCTTGTTGTTTTGCAGTAAAATTCTATGAAGTATATTTTCAACATAGCCAATCAATATATAACAGACATGTAATATAGACATAAAAACTGTGCATAATAATACATTTCAATTATTTTTTGCTCCATACATTATAATTATCACACGAATTATTTTTATACGTTATAAATAATAAATAAATGCTTATATAATTCTCCGTTAATATATTAAGACACGTATGTGCAGTGTATAAGCGAGCTCGATCAGTTTAATCTTTTCTTGCCGGCTGTATTTCGCAGAAATACCTTAGGGACGTTGGAGGGACGCGGGTTTATTTCCCAAGAGGGACGCGGCCTTTTTTTCGCAGTCCGACTGCCGCTATTACCCCGATATAAGGGCGGCGACCTCTCTAGTGGCCAAAAATTTCAAGATCGCAAACTTTTATCGTAAACTTTGATGGGATTTCTATCGAGGCGACGCGAAACGTATTTCGCACAATCGTAAACCGCTTTCTTGCGTAACGCGTTTCGAAACTTTAAAAGGGGATCTTGTTGCATACTTCCACGTCGAAAGTGTCTGCGACACTTTATACATTTTGATGGAATATTATTAGTACAACAAGAAATTTAATGAGAAAAGAGAAAACATAGTTTTTACTTTACAGTTTCTTAGTATTTTCTGATTATAAACATGAAAAAGATTTGAGTAACAAACAATGAGATATCGTGGAATATAGATGGATTTTATCGCAGTCGTTTCGCGAATATCCTCAGCATTTCCGATATTCAATCTCGCCGCAAAGAAAAGTTTTGTCACTCGACAGGTGGAAACACTCTCAAAACCATTCTGAAGTGCGATGGAAAATGATACGCCTGATCGTGCCTGTCGATGCCTCGTGAAAGAGGGTGAACAACACGTCGCAATTCTTCTCGCATCCCCTATTCCTATCGCGCTTTAGGTGCCAAAGAGAAGCAGCTTTGCACGCCAGCTAACAGCATAGCTGCGTGCATGAACTGCTATTGAGACACGAGAGAGAGATATAATGCTCGCCACTTAAGCGAAGTTGCCTTGCGGCCAGACAGTCGAAAGGGTGTCTGGTGTTTCGAGAGCTCTCCTCTCAGACTGCATAGCATCGTGTAGATGCACCCTCGCATCCTCGATTTGCTAAAAAAGAAAAATCTCGCGTTCTTCCCGCGTGCACTTATGCATATGCAAGTACAATGTGGTACTCGTCCATCGGTGCACATCGCGATATAAGGGAATCTGTTGCAAACTCGGACAATGACAGCATTCCATGTATGAATTATAACAACCGTAAAAAGATTCCTTCTAATAAAAAACTCAACGATAATACATAAATTAATGTAGGGCAATTAGGAATCCACGCTGTAATTGGTGCGTTTAAATTACTGGGCGAACCTTAGTATAACTTGAATATATTTAACATAATTGAGTACGTTTCGGCTAAATTCTAGCCTTCTTCAGCTTGACATCGTTAACAATAGAAACATCTACATACGTGGAAAACCTTTGGTTATCTCCCAATTATAGAAACGTACTCAATTATTCAATCAAATACATTATACTGAGGTTCATCCATCAGTAATTTAAGCGCACCGATTACAGCGCGGATTCCTAAATGCCCTACATTCATTTATGTATTGTCATTAAGTTCCATATATGAAGTTACATATAGAAATGCAAATGTAACTGTGTATTAACAAACACAGTGAGTTTATATCATATCTGTATGTATATTATTATACATCTAAATAAATATATTTTTCAGTTTACGTTAGATGTAAAAACGCGGTCGATAGACTATCGTGAATCTCATATACGTGATACATACATACATAGTATGAGATATTTTATTGCAAAAACGGAAGCGAAACACGAAAACGAATACTTGTGACCGTGGCGGCGCGTATTTCATAGTGTATCCGCTCGTAAAACCCTCGAAAACTAATTTGAAAAGTGTTCCGGCCTTTTTCAATACTCCAACTTTTACGCGGCTGGTTTAAATATGTAATAAAGGCACGTATGTACTTTCACTTTAGCGGCCCCGTAAATCCATAACGATCGTTATGCATCACCCATCGCCGAAAGTACATTATCCTTAAATAGGCAGACGAGGGACTTCGATCCACTGTCCCTGTCTTACCCGTCTCAAGATCACATCATTGGTGGAACTACTATTAAGGCGTACGCACTCGAGACGTCTCATTCCAAGATTGAAAAGCACCGGTGAATTACCTATGCAAAATACGCGAGGATTTTACGGACTGTGCTGATCCCTCTATTGAAGGACGTCAGAATACAATCTCTTATACCCCGCTTTCTAAAAAGTAGCCGAAGGCTTTCGCTAAGCTGACAAAGAAGAGAGAGAAAGGGAGATAGTATCTTCTTGATCTTGAACTATCCTAAAAATTCTAATCCTGAGACTATCTTAGAGGGTGCAAAATGTTCTATCGGATTTGTAAATACTTTACGTACCAGGGGTGGAAATGAATGATATCCAACTTTTTGGAATGACGGAGGGAACGAAAATAGAAATTTTTAGATAAGGCATCTCGCTAGCTTTATTTGAAAGTTCGTCAGTGTCACGCGTTTTCAACCTGTGATATGAGGGAAGGGACGATATGAAAGAAGGGAGAGAGCGAGGAGCAGGCTGGAAATAGCGACGGCAACAGGGAGAGCACGGAATTTCGCAAAATTTAAGCCTGCCGACATCCATCACTGCGCGCGACAGTCCTCCCGTCGCTCCAACGTCAGCCCGCGTCGCTCTTTTTGGGTCTGCCAGAGCGCACGAGTCGGTACATGCATGCATACGTGAAGCCGCAATAGCTGTAACACGACGTAAAATCCGTCGCTCGTCGTATGGAAAATCGTGGCGCGAAGTGATGGCGACAATGTAGTTCGATCTTAAGCGGTAAACAGCTAGTAACATGGATACGTTATTATCCTCGATTCATATTACATTCTGCATTTAAATTTTACATTATCTTTCGGTCTCAATCGGTTTTTAAAATAGAGTATATATCTCTTCTATTAGATATCAAAAGAGCAATGACAACCCAATCCCTTGAATAAAATAACATTTTGTTAGTTTTAACTTCTATCTGTGACAAAATGTAAATCAATCCATTTCCATGGTTAGTTTCAAAGTAAACTTTATTCACATTAAGGGAGATATGCACACGGAGAAAATTTTATATTTAAAATTACTATAATGTGGTAGTTGCTGCGGTCTTCATATAAATTATAAGTTTAAATGCTATAGTTATTTTTTTAAAAACAATAATACAACGTAATTTTTACACTTTTTTATAGTAAAAATTTTTTATTACAAAATCAAATCTTGTTGAATGAAAGTTAGTACTGTAAAGATAAGTTAAAAATATATACCTAGCAAATTTTGTTTGCGTACCATAGTAAAAATTAACTGTTTTCATGTTAGAATATGGCTTAACAAAATAATTACTTTATTTATGTGATAAAAATTAGTATTACCATAGTAAAAGTTAAGTCGGAATTATGTTGTAAGGGTCCATACGAAAATACAAAACATAGTAAAGTGTAATTTAAAATTATATTAAAACTTAATATAAAATTTTCTCCGTGCACTCTTACACGCAAATAATATAAACTAAATTTTAGTTAAATTTAATATATTTTCTTGAGTTAAATTGTTTGACTCTATTGTTTTAATCAAATTAAACAATAATGATTAAAAATTACTGAAATTGAGTATAATTTGATATTATGAATTTAACAATGTTGTCTCCCATTTTTATCTTTCACCATGGATTTTGGTAAATCAAGGAGCGTTATCTTCACTGTTTTAATTAATGGAAAGACGATACGAGAATACACAAAACTTCACTGGGAAAGAGATACACCACTCACCATAAAGATGTTTTATTACGTTTTATTACGTTCCTTTACAAATATAGCTACTGTGGGCAGGTCGATTGCAACTGACAGTCAAATTACAAAAGCGCGTATTACATTTTACGCTGGCTTTCAACCTGATACGCACCGTCGGATTATACTGACGTAAATAATGGAAAATTGCAACATTCGTGGAAAAAATGTATTTTGTCGCATGCCAGAACCACACTAAAACTCGTCGCTAAAATGGAGTACTCGGTGTACACTGTCTAAATATACATTTTTTTAACAAATTTCTCGTACGCATCTCACTCATTATTAGTTGCTTCGATCATGTAGAAACGAGATTATTACACGAGCTGTTACAAAATTCGGTGAAAATTTAAGATCGACAATTTATTTTCTTTTTATAGCAATAAGAATCATTTCACTGTAGATTTAAAAATTCAGAAATCATGTGATAAAGCGAGAGAGGGGTAACGAAACGGACAGCACGGTAGAAATAACACGTGCACGACATGCGTCGTGCATCAAGCCCATTCGCTCCGTTGTTTCCGAAAGCCTCCAAATAACCAAAACCTTGGACGTCAGGATCATCATGGCAACTAACCTCGCTAAATTCAAAATTTACTAGTATACGAGTATATACTCCAATTCTATAAATTTGCATTTCAATGGCCCACTTGCCAGTGAACGAGATTCCATTTACCACGTAAGAGAGAACAAATAATTTCACAGTATAATACGGCAATAATGAGCAGCACAATAGTACAATAATTGAATAATGTATGGCAATCACTACTTAATTTAGCGTATATGACAATTACTACTTAATTATCGTTTAAGCACGAGTTTGCGTCGATATGCGATTTCACAATTCCGCTCCTGTCATTATCATTCTAAATTATTATTCTTTCGCACTATTTCCGTTTCATATTATAGATTTTGCAAATAATTATCGCTGTGATCATCCAATCGTCAATTATTGCGTAACAATATTAAGGAACGTGTATATAATTTTAACGTCACTTAGCGATGCAATACGTACATTATTATACCCTACTCGTCTTACATATTATCTGCTCTATCACAATGCAATACAAATACGTGTATACAAATATGTAATTATATATAAAATATCCATATATATTGTTATGTTATGTTATGTTAAATTATGTTATTTTAAAACACATATGTGTGTTATTTGACTGAAGCCACTTTTAACACTATTCTCGCCGTTTTATATTACTACGCACTTACATTTTACTTCAACTCATTTTAATGTGTGTCAAATTAATACGGTTAAATGTGTTTATTTGATATAATACATTAAAACGTGTTAATAAGTCTATTATATTAAATGAACACGTGTTAACACTAGGTAACACATAATATATTTATATATTTCCTAAATCGCATCACAATCTAACCTTTTAAATCGCACATTGCTTAATATTTTTACATTTCTTACATTTTAATTTTATTTAATATTATATGGAAATGTATATTGTAAACCTATAAAGTGTTTATTTTGTTTTACATAGAAACTCCTTAAATTACCTCTTGAAATTATCATGTGTTTAAAAAATTATGAAAAATATTAGATGGTTAACTTAATTCCTGCCTATTAGAAGGTGCCGGATTAGAGGGTGCCAACGCTAGCGAGTTTCGATGGTGAAGCCGCATGTCTTTTGTAGTTCAGACATTGCTGAAAGTGATTCAATCCTCACAGGTTAGATTTCTCGACACCAAAGAGATTTTCCAATAGATTGGAAATGAACCGCGATAAGCTGTTTTTCTGACATGTGCTTCTTCACTACTTCGATTTCAAGTAAAACTGCAGCTGAAACGCATCATTGATTATCTGAAGTATGGTGATGAAACTCCATCGGAGAGAATAGTAGAGTTTGGTTTGAATGCTTTCGAAACGGTGATTTTTACGTGAGAGAGAAAAAACATCCCTTGACCTGTATTTGGTGGGACCAAGGGGGGATGCTGTATTACGAGCTCTTGCATCCAAATGAAACCGTTACAGCTGATCCGTTACCAACAGTAGTTATGCCGATTGAGTGACAAATTGATGTAAAAAAACCATCTGTAATCAACAATCGATGCAAAGTCATTTTTTTTGCATGATAACGCTCGACTACGTGTTGCGGAAAGCGTGAAGCAGACACTTTTAGAGCTTGAATGGAAAGTCTTCCCGCATCCAGCGTACTCTCCAAACTTGACACCGTCGAATTACTATTTTTTTTACATTTTTTGCGTTATTGTAATATTTTAAGTGAAGAATATTGGCATAATACGATTTAGGCAACGAATTTCCTCGTTGTCAAAATCGCATCATATTGAAAAAATCCTTATTTTACCGTTAACGTATGCACTTAGTATAAGTAATAAACTAAATTTGAGTCAAATTTAATACATTTTCTTAAGTTCAATTTTTTGACTATTATTTTAACCAAATTAAACAAATCAGTGCTACAGAAATTAATGATTAAAAATGACTAAAATTGAGTATAATTTGACATTATGAATTTAACAATGTAGTCTTCCATTTTTGTCTTCCACCATGGAATTTGATAAACCAAGGAGCATTATCTTCACTGTTTTAATGAATGGAAAGACGATACGAGAATACACAAAGCTTCGCTGGGAAAGAGATACACGCCACTCACCATAAAGCCTATTAAGTTCCTTTACAAATATAGCTACTGCGGGCAGGTCGATTGCAACTGACAGTCAAATTACAAAAGCGCGTATTACATTTTACGCTGGCTTTCAACCTGATACGCACCGTCGGATTATACCGACGTAAATAATGGAAAATTGCAACATTCGTGGAAAAAATGTATTTTGCCGCATGCCAGAACCACACTAAAACTCGTCGCTAAAATGGAGTACTCGGTGTACACTGTCTAAATATACATTTTTTTTTATAAATTTCTCGTACGCATCTCACTCATTATTAGTCGCTTCGATCATGTAGAAACGAGATTACTACACGAGATATTACAAAATTTCATGAAAATTTAAGGTCGACAATTTATTTTCTTTTTTTAGCAGTAAAAACAATTTCATTGTAGATTTAAAAATTCAGTAATTGTGTGATAAAGCGAGAGAGGGATAGCGAAACGAATAGCACGTATTGTAGGAATAACGCGCGTGCGACATGCGTCGTGCATCAAGCCCATTCGCTTCGTTGTTTCCGAAAGCCTCCAAATAACCAAAACTTTGGACGTCAGGATCATCATGGCAACTAACCTCGCTAAATTCAAAATTTACTAGTATATATACTCCAATTCTGTAAATTTGCATTTCAATGGCCCACTTGCCAGTGAACGAGATTCCATTTACCACGTAAGAGAGAACAAATAATTTCACAGTATAATACAGCAATAATGAGCAGCACAATAGATACAATAATGTATGGCAATCACTACTTAATTTAGCATATGATAATTACTACTTAATTATCGTTTAAGCACGAGTTTGCATCGACATTCGATTTCACGATTCCGCGCCTCTCTTCATCATTCTAAGTTATTATTCTTTCGCACTATTTCCAGTCATACATTACAGATTTTGCAAATAATTATCACTCTGGTCATCCAATCAATTATTGCTTAACAGTTCAATATTATAATTATTATAATTCAATATTATAATCATAATCCACTTGTTTGTTGATTTTACAGCCACCATGCTGAGCAGCTCATTCAACCAGAAATCTTGACGGCCGAACTATCGACGGATCTACCACAAGATGGAAAGAAAAGTCGCGGATACAAAAATAGCCCACTTTTATATTCCGGTGCAACATATAACGTCCGCGATTTCATATCGCAAGAAGACAACAAGTCACTGGATAAAAGTTATGGAGACGGTTCTTCGAATGAAATATGCGCTTTTAAATTGGATCAGGGAAAGATTGATGAGCTCGCAAACGATTACTCTGAAACGTGCGCATCTTCCAGCCGCGAAAGCGCGATACAAAAGGAATCTTGCAAGGAAACAGTCAAAAATAATAGAACTCTCTCAAAGAACGAAGATGAATCTCAATGCAAATCGAATCGTAAAAGAAAAACACGTCGCAAAATGCCCGATGGTGTGATCATTGATCTTAGCAATGATGTGTATGGCATTTCCCGCGGCGGCATAAAAATCAGCATTATTTCCGCTCATAATCTGGTACCCGAAATGAAATTTGTCGCGGTACCAAAGTATGAATTTTTTTTACAACAAACAAAGATAGATATTTAAAGATTTTCTAAATTCTTTAAAAATCCCATGTACGTAAATCTTTTTCAGGAAACAATATTCAACGTGGAATCACAGTCCAAGAAAAATGATGAAGAAAATGATCGACAATTCTATACTGACTGTGCTTTGTTCGGAAAATGGCAACAAAGTGAAGAAAACTCAGAGGTCAACAAAACGCAAATATAGAAATTATTCGAGAAAGTCAATGAATAACATATTACATAAGAATGCCAATACGACTGTCGATGCACCAAAAAAATTTAAAAATACATTAAATGGACAACAAAAGTTACATGTAAAAAATAATATGCAGTCGCTTTGCATGCCTCATGAAATTTTTGATTCAATGCAATGCTGTCATCACGATAACGCGATGGTTGATATTGATAACGTACGATATCCGATATTGAACACAGACGAAACGTGTGTCGACACAGGGAAATGTACCACGAACTACTGCTGTTCAATTTTTAACGGCACACATCAGGAATATCACATTTGTCGGGAGGATTATAATACAGATGGTTCTGATTTCAATGCCGAGATGCAAACTGATTGGATGGCCGAATGCTTTTATCCTGAATATACCCGCACGAAGAGATGCCGATGTTTCTATGACTCAAACGAGTGCGATTCCAACATAAATATGCAACAAGACCATTGTCTCCTGATGTCGCGAACGGCAAGACTGTTCGAAAATTCTGCTCTTCCGAGGAAGCATCAAAGAGAAGAGGTCGAGCGACTCGAATCTGATATCGCGCCTGAATTCGCAACAGAAGCCGATGAATATTCTCCAGATGGAGTCGAACGGTGCACGAATTGCGATGGAGAGAAAGGAAGTTTAGCGAGCACAAACCGGAAACTCGCCGAGCCTGGCGGAAGCGTTACCGATCTTCACGATTCACGTCCCGTGGATGCATCGCTATATGAAATTGATACACGTCCTGGAAAGAACGGATGGCGGACGACGACGACAACGGTGGTGGAGAGAGACGGCGATCGGTCATATAAATCAGATTCACTGAAAGCCATCGACACGTGGGATACAGGCGCGTGGAAAGACAACTGTATCGGACGGCATTGCGCAGACTGCGTTGTCGCGAAACCGTCGCGTACAAACCAGCATCCCGAGGAAAAAGGAGAATCCGTCCGCGGAGTGGATTTGAAGTGGAAACGGGGCTCCATTGAAACTGACGTTCAACAATTGGATTACAAATGGAAGAGAAGAATCGCGACCGTAGATGCCGGTACACGCGCGAGGGTGGATTTCAAAGGAAAACGTGATTCCAGGTGAGAGTCGATTTGAATGAGATATGGCTGCATGATAAAGGAACCGCGCCGCTTTTATTCTCTCTCTTTCTCTCTTTCTCCCATCGTTACCTAACGTCGACTATGTCCAACAGATATAGATCGGAAGAGGCGATTCGTATCCAATTGCGCGAAAGCGCGGAGATAAGGAAGCGCAAGAGCCTGGAAATGGTCGAAGCAACGTTAGTCCCAGCCTAATTTTGGAATACATCTATTTCCGATAAATAGAATTCTCCACTTTTCTCTCGTTCTGTATATTGCTTTGAAAATTGCTCTCATTTTTCAGAGTTCTCCTGACTATTCTTATTTTATATAACATTTATATATTCATTATACATTATACGCTTTCATTATTATTTTTTTACATGAAATAATCAGAATTTAATGAAACGTTACCCGTTTCTTTTTCCTTAATCGTTTGATTTAAACTGATCTGATTTGCTTCGCGAATCCGAAAACTTTCTGAAACCATTAAAATTTTAAAACGAAGATATAAACCTCCTTTATTTAGTTAAATTTAAAGAAAAAATCGACTTTTACTAATTAAAGAATCTAAAAAAGAAGTGCAACATAAACGTCTTAAACTCTATATGTAGCAAACTCAAATTACATAATTTAAAAAATTAATGTTAACGTTTTTGTAAATAAAATAAAACGGTAATATATTAGTGATTTCAAGAATAAATCTTTTATTATATAATATCTATATAATTTTAGTTTGCTACATATAGAGTTTAACATATTCATGTTGCATTTCTTTCTCAGATTCTTTAATTAGTTCAAAATCAATTCTTCTTTTAAATTGAACTAATAAAAAGCTTGTTGCAAAGCTTTCACGAATGTTTTACAGGTCGCAAACGAAGAGTGACAATATAAACGCAGACGGCAAACATCACGAGACGCGCGATTACTCTCTTTGGACGAGTTTACAGATGGGCAAAATTTGGTCGCAAGTGCACGACGCGTGCAAGAACGTCGTAAAGCTCGCTGCTGCGAGTGTCGGCCGTGTTGTGAAGGATGCACCTAAATCGGAACGTTCACAGAGAAATCCCGTCGAAGTGGCTGACGCGACGCTCGACGAGAGCACGTCCTCGTGCGCCGGCAAAATATGCGGTGAAACGTGTCGTAAAAATTTAATGCGCTCGAAGAGTGAAGAAAAAACGGAGGCGCGTCAAGAACGTACAGTCGGGGACGTGGGAAAATATCACGGGGATACAGAAGCACCAATGCGGAAAAACTCGCGGACCATTGCACCTACTCGCCACGATATGCAGAAGCACGCGTATCAAAGCACCAAAAAAGAGGAGAACGGAGAATCTTGTGTGAATTACAGCGGTACGATTAATAGTGATCAATCCTTCACGCATCTACCTGTTGCATTGACAGAGTCATCGAAACTTGTGACTTATATTCAACAAATAACACGCACATATCTGAGTCAACTTAAAAAATATATGTAACGTTTTTTTGAAGAAAATATTATTTTTTTATACAAACGATAACGCAACAACGAAACATTCGTTTCTTTTTTATCTTTCACTGCTTTTCAATTTTGTCGGGTTTTCGATTTTTTTCCGTCGTCTCTTTGTACCTGCATCTCTCCGAGTATGTGAACCATAAATATTGCGTTGTAACAAAAAACGTATTTTTTTATTTCGGCTAAATGAAATCGAAAAAAGGTAGAGAAATTTTTTAATTTTAAATAAATACGAATTTCTGCAGATTTGCGTCACTATTGAACGCAAATTAACAAATGTTTTATTATAATCTTTTTCTCTGAAAATTTCCAAATTTATATACATTAAAGACAAAGGATGTTTATATTCAAATTTTACATTAGCCTTTATCCACGTGAGAATTTGCATTTAGATACGAATGCTTGTACAATATTCAATATCATAAAATATTCTCTCGTTTCCCGCGTATATAAATTTCTCGCCTTTGATACGGAAATAATAATTGCTCTTCTAGAATATGAACACGGCAAGTATCGGGATATCGTAGAATTTCAACCACGGAATGAAACGTACAGTCATGATGAGGATATACATACTCAATCCCGTTTGAGTGAGTCCTTCATTTATCACGAAAAATTTACGTATCCAGGACTTCGCAATAGAGGTGGTAGCGACAATAACCGAAATTTTGCAAGAAGTACCGTAGACGATCAATCTATGCAACATACTTCCGAAGAAACAAAATCTGTTAAATGTTATCAAAATTCTAAAACATACGTATGTAACGATAGGATGTCTCAAGAGACACACGTTTATTGTTACGAAGTATCTGTAACTACTGATCACCAAGCGATTCGCGCAGACATGCCGGTTTCCTCGGAAAATAATTCGCTGCATCATGAGTCTCAATCGATGAACGTATCATCTTCTGAAGGTAACAGACGAGTAGAAACATCTGCGACGCCTGAACAAACACGATCTTATGAAGAAACCGAAAAAACGTGCGAGGGAATATGCGAAGAAACGTGCGAGAGTATTGACACGATCGACACGGAAACCGAAAGGAGCTTTTCATCGATGATCGCAGTTGCAGCAGTATCCTTGACGGAAGCGGATCTCACGGTTCACTCATTGCGGAACGACTCGGAAGAACCGATAGCGTCGACTTCCAAATGGGAGACGTCACCTGTTTCACCGGGAATATCGCGAAGAAAACGTCCCGGTTTCAAATCTCCGTTCTGTGCGAAGGCGATGAAATTCTTGAGGAAGCGTTCGTCCGTCGATAATAAAATCACCGCGCCTGTGCTTAAATGGAGTAGAAGAGGCATCAGAAGAAAGGAGCTATCAAGTACGGACACTACTACTTACGATAACGGAGTGAAGATTATGCAAATAGATCCATCTACTATGCAAATCGATCGAGAAGGCAATAAGAGGCGAGCCTACGTAAACGTTCAAGTGCAAACACCTGACGCGATTGTTACGAGAATTTTATCAGAGTTCCTTCTCAGTGGCGAGAAGAAGAAGAAGGTGTTGATGACCATAATGCTACAATCGGAATTGGACGACAAAAAAGAAGTAGAAACGCAAACATCATCAAGTAACATAACTTCCAGAGGGATCGACATGTTTAGTTATCCGGACAAACGTCCTCACGGTGCGATTACAACCTCGTCGAAGACTGTTCAATGTTTCGTATGTGATAAACAAGAGTGTTACGAAATAAGACAGTCGGATGACTCGATTACTTTAGAAGAGGCGTTAATCGCAGAATATCCGGAAACGTCTGAATTGAACGATTATTTGGCGAAACGAAAAACAGACGTAACAATTCCTCCATGATTTATGCTCAAGGAATTCTCTTGAGAGCAATTTATATAAATAAATATATCTGTCATAATGTAAATAATTTTAAGCAGCAATATTAAAATTTGCGTTTGTCAAATTTTTGGCGTAGATTAATCGAACCACTTCGAGATATCGAAAAATTCAGAGAGAATTTCAGTTAATTTAATTAAATCTTAGTAACCTCACATTTACACATGTACTGATTTATGTATCCATTTTTGGCTATGGCATATCAAAAATGTATTCAACGTGATGCCACACCCTGCCGAAATTTATATCCAAATTGAAATTTTAATTATGCATAGCAATGGAAACAAATAAGTTAATTATGAATCTCTTCTGAAAATTATAAAGTTTAAACAAAGTTGCACATTACAAAATAATTTTCTTATTCAACATGAGGCAAAATTACAATTTAGTCTATTCAATATTAGCACATTTAATTAATCATATTTAATCATATTAATGGGATCGAACTATATTCTATAATAATATTATTCATATTGAACAAACATATTGAGCACATCAAACATGGCAAGTAATAAAATCGGTGATTCTGACACAAATTGTCAGATTAAACAAACAGATTGTCCCGTTGATTGCGATACTCCAAATGCAACTAACGGAGATTCATCAACATCAGACAGTCACAAGTTCTTTCGTAGGATATTAAAGTATTTTACGCGCCCTACTGCACAAATAAGACAAAGCAAAAAAAAGAAATGCGATATAAAGAAGCAAATTGTCAGTACGAGTAAATCTGAAGAAAAAATATCGATATATACTTCATTATCATCGATTGTAGATAATGTAATTAAACCCGATGCAGAGATTGTCGTTAAGCGAAGAACGGTTGATGCAATCACCTCCACTACACGAGTAAGTAATGTTTTTGATAAAGTAACACATGAAAATCTTTCAGACGCTATAGAGCGTTTTATTCACGGCGCATCTTATCGATATGCGAAATACGCAGCGAAAGACGTGGATAACGTCGTTTCGGATCGTGGCTGCGGTCCGCTATACATTGACAGCGGGACTCAAAGCGTTACCGTGGATGGAGAATTCAGTTTGGAGACAAGCCCTGACACTTTCGCGGAAGCATGCGAAAAGAGGCGGCACGCGGACTTTATTCTCGAGGAAATTGCAAAAGTCTCTGACGCTTTGACGCAGAAAGCGCGTCTCGCTTCCGCAAAAGAACAGGCGGCTTCAATCCTCGCGTCCATATCGATGGCGCCTACGAAATATGAGATGGAAGAGCAAACATTTGAGAGCACGAAATCATTAATATCTTCGATTATCCACGCGGAAGAGGAACCAATTGTTATAGTAAAAGAAAAACCAATTGTTATAGTCGAAGAAAAATCAACTGTTGTAGTAGGAAAAAAGCCATCTGTTGTAGTGGAAGAAAAACCAACTATTGTAATAGAAAAAAAACCATCTGTTATAGTAGAAAAAAAACCATCTGTTGTAGTGGAAAGAAAACCAACTATTGTAGTAGAAAAAAAACCATCTGTTGTAGTGGAAAGAGAACCAACTATTGTAGTAGAAAAAAAACCATCTGTTGTAGTGGAAGAAAAACCAACTGCTGTAGCAGTAGCAGTTACTTCAACGACTGTAATGCAACCAGAGATACACAAGGAAATATTGGAATCTCCTCCAAACCATTTTACACCAAATTCACGAGATTTTTCGGTAAGCTTACAATTAGATAAATCTCTGAGTGCTTTGGATGTCCAAGTAAAACCATCAATAGAAGACCTAAGGAAAACTGAACGTACGCGTACAGCATTGGTCACGTTTCCGGAAAAAGATGATCTTCGAGATACCGCAGCTCCTTTTGTTACTAGCAAAAAGACAGAAGAAAAGGAAAAATTACCGAAGAAAAATTCTCTGCGACGAATGTTAGATAAACATGGTTTCACTGACATGACACATGACGAAAATTGTGTAATTATAAATTGTATTCCAAAGCTAAAAAAGAAAAGGCCCAAATCTTTAGATCAGCCTGATGATACTTTAAGACAAAAAGATACTCAGACTGGTGTTTCAAGAAAAAAAGTTGTAAAAAGAGTCGATTCCTCTATCAAACCTTCGAAGATGAAAAAAGAATTAGCCCAAAAAACCAAAGATATTCCCCAAGAACCTGTGCCATATAAAAAGCCAAAATATCGAGCGAAATATCGCATTGATATGAAGAAAAAAGAAAAAAAACCACAATTGAAGAAAGCACCCCATGAAATCTTGAAACACGAGTGTCTCATTAGCTTGCCTGAAATGATAAGATCTTCTAAGGTTTTTGAAGATTTCGTAAGGCCAACAACGAAAATGTATCAAGATTGTCGTAGAACATTATCAGAATATTTAGAACCAACAAGATATTGCAAGGATTTATCGAGCATCTGTCTTACAAGACCCAATTATTGCGATGTTTGGATTACTCCATCCGTTTCCTCTGAAAGTACCATAAATGGCGCTTTCCCGCAAGATTCATGCACAATCAAATATCGTGCCAGCTGTCATTCACTAATTGACAGCTCGTCCAGATATCGTAACATTAATACAGACTGCACAAAACGTAGGGTAACATTTGAAAATTCATTATGTACCAATATGTATTGCAAGAACGACGCAAAATATTGTTATCCGCATCTAAATAATATTGACAACGTTCGAATGAGATATTATCATTGCAATGACATTTGTCCAGTATTGAACAACAATCAACAGTGTGGGACGGATCGATCATATTACTGGACAAAGGGAAATTTATATTTCACGCATCCATGGACATCGGAGCATTTGTTGCGATATAATTGATATTGACAATGGCAACATACGATATTTAACGTTACCGAGTAATTCGAATTCAATCATATCGGAAATATATATAAAATTAACGTGTCGCTTTTTATTGCTTATGTATAATTTTTTTATGAGATTTACGGTACAGAGCGAGATGATGAGGACCGAGCAAATTAAAATGAATAAATATACGACGTAATCTGTACTGCGGCCAGTGACGTGCGTCAATCCTAATTATATTTCACACTACATACTAATTTTAATTATTAACCCGTATATGCGAGTAGTCATAAAGTTTCGCATCCTGTCCAACGCGTATGCATGTTAATAATTAAAATTAATAACACGCCAAATATAGTTGCGATATACGTGCGACAGTCGACGCATTGATGCCAGACGACAAGAGAACGTATCATACGATATATTAATGTGGACAGAGTGATTATATGTTTGCATAGCAGTTTATATTACTCATTATGACGACCAGTTTATGATTATTCATCAATAATAACAAATAGTTCAAACTAGCATTTCAAGAAATGACAAAAACCAACAGAAACTTTTGCATTGCAAAAACACGCTTATTACGGAAAAATTGCCAGTCACAAAAGGACCGAGATCGTTTGAGCGTTTTTTCATGCTTGAGAAGCTACTTAGCTGTTTAGGAAATATCCACGGACAGGAAGAAACCACCGCAGACGCGACAGACCGTTACCGTCCTCACAAGAAACGCCAAACAGTGTCGAAAAGAGCTTGCGGGCAGCCGAAGAACTTTGCATCAACGGGTCCCGGCGGGGACGTTGTCGTATCCTTAAGCGGCCTTCGCGGTTGGCGATTGCGGCGGAAGGAATTTCGTAGAAGTTCGTTGCAAAGTTCCTTGAAAGTCCACCTACCGAATGCAACGACCGAAAACCTAGTCTGGAAAGCGAAAGCACATATATCTGTTTCCTTGTTACCTATTCACGCAGTCTGGAAGGTACATACTAATTTGTTCGTTTTTTCAATAAAAATTAATTTTATAATGAAAAGTAGTGAAAAATAAATAATTAAGAAATTTTTAATTAGAAAGCAAATAAAAAATGGTCAAGATATGAACAAAATAAAGTCTTTATTTATTGTCAAATAAATTAATAAAAAGGGGAGGAAACAAAGAATAATTTATTATTATAGACCTTTCGACTGCACTCTTTTATACTGTAGTCTTCTTTAACATATCAACAATTTCAGCGAGGGAAGTAGAGGAAAAATTAATAATTAGAATTGAGTCAATTGAGAATACAAAACATAATATAATGATACATAAAATAATAAATCATTCATTTAAGAATAAATAAAGTTGTCACTTTTGCGACCTTATTTTATTCATGTCTTGACCTTTTTTATCTTTATTTGCGTTTGCATTTATCAAACTTGATTTTCTTGTTATTTTCAATTAGAAGTTTATTGTCCGAGAAATTACAGCGACATAATGATGTTTAATTGTATTTTATATGATGTCTAATTATTCATTTATTCCGACAGATGTGCCATACGGTCAACCATTCGAAGTGTGTAACACGAGAAAATGATTTGAAAGGATCTCGCATCTTAAGCAGTCTTCAAGTTCGAAGTACATCAAGACGAAAACTTCGTCGAAGTTCATGGCGATCTATTCGGCAAACTCTCTGGATGACCAATATAAGAGAAGAGTCAAAACCACTCAATAAACAAGTTTGTGAACCGTACAGATAACGTTATGACATGCTTGTCGTTGTTATAAATGTTACGGTCGCATAACAGGTAGCTTTATGCAGTGGCAAGATTTAACGTCATCCTAGTGGATGCATTAGACAGGTGGCGTCGGAAGATTTACTATTCAACTTCGACATCGTACAGTACGAAACTTCGCCCGCGAGGCGAAGGAAGTACGATATCCTTCGACAGAACGACGCACCACGCCGCCTTTCACGCTAAGTACTGCATTCGAGAACGCTGATGTCGACGATGACACTGGAGGTTGCCGGAACGGAGTTGCTCTACAGACGGCGATAATGACAAGGCAGAGGGCGAGGGACTGGCAGGGTTGCAACCGCGTTGAATCGCACGAAGTAACAGCGAGGAAACTTAGTAACGTCAGACTTCGCGACGACCATGAAGGCACACTTCCCCGATAGGAGATCTCGGTGTAGAAGAGTCGGTGGAGGGTGCGAAGGATCTCATAATGCCCCTCGACGTCTCTATCCGTCGCCTTATCACGCTAAGTTGATTAAACACAGGCGACAACACGCGTCCCCTTCCGTCCGCAACCCCCGTTGCTGTCGTGCCTGTGTACCATGTCCCGTCGTCCAGCTTGCAACCCGGCCGTGGCATCCACCTCTGGTCTGACCCACCTCCGTGCAATCTGCCGCCGTGTAATCCGCCGGCGTGTAAACCACCCTCGTGTAAACTGTCCCCGTGTAAATCACTGCCGTGTCCAACGGCCTGTCCGCTGCCGCCGTTGTACGACACGTCTCCGTGTTCAACGTCTTTAGACCGTCCAATTCCAACCAAGAACCAGCCCCATGTTTCCAGGTAACTCCGTGTTCGATAGTCTCATGCTATTCGCGTGAAACACGCGCGACTCGCGATGAAAGACGGGACTGCGCCAATGACGGCGAAAGGGCTGCTTGTTAATTAGGCTAAAGTTAAACGTAGATTGTTGCTGCAAAGAGATCTTCCTTGCAAGTGAGTTATACAATTTAACAATCTCATTCTAATAATATACAATGCCTTACAGCTGTTTACAGCATAGTTATGATATAGCTTTGTTTCGATTTTGATTTCGATTGAAATGTTTATAGTAAATAATGTTACATTTGACATTATACTTTTTTTCTCGGTTGCATTAATTTCAATATTTTATTATTAATATTTTAATTATGAATAATTGATGAATGATTATTGTGCTATTTTATGCTAAATTTTGAATAATTATCTTCCTCGGATATTGTCCCAGAATAAATTTCTTTATTTGTTCTATTTATCTCTTTACGTAATATGCCCGTGCAAAAATGTTATATATGGTATCACGTAATACGCTTAAATTTTGCTAGTACATTTAATGTAAATGCTTGACCTGCAAAAGTCTTTCTTCTTGCGGAGGATGTCGCGGTCAATTGTGTGGAAAGACCGATATATAGTTGCGCAAGTTCCGGTACCGGAACGAGCTGCTTGCTGAGAAACATTGGTTTGAGATGCTGCGGCGTTGGAAATTCGAGCTGCGGAGGATGTTACTAATGATTCATCGCTTTAAAGATTCCACGCTCGTTGCACATTCAAGAAATTAATAAATAAAACAGTTTCTCCGATGCAATTACGTGAATTTATCGCTTCTGAAAACGCACAATTTACTTGATTAAACAGGATGCTTAATTTTTGCTCGTTTGCCATAAACGTAAATCGTCGATGTTTTCTTAATTCTTCAAGTGGGACTTTGAAAACACAGTTGATATTTTAATTATAAATTCTAGTAGATAAATTCAGATCTGTAAAAAATAATTAAAATATACGGAAAGAACTGTTTTGCTTAGGTATCTAAAAATTTAGCTAGATGCAAATTTAAAAATAATTATTTAGTTATTAGAATCTCAAAACTTTTTGCAACATTACTTATCATGCTTGAATTTTTTACGTAATTATTTTTATGATACAACAAAGTTATTTCCAGATTTGCATTATTTAAATTTTTAGATACTTTAGCAATATTTTTTTCCGTATTTCACAATCAAATTTTTATGATAGTAAAAACTTGTTACTAAAGCTTTCATAGATATACAAAAATATTTTCAAATTTTTATACAGTCTAGAATAATATTAAAATCTGCACTGAAGTTCAAAAATCCAGCTGTGTTATTGACGGAAGATGCAAAATTCCATTTGGCCGACAGAAGGTTAAAGTTAATGACAATTACCATAACCTAATGTAATTAATTTGGATTAACATTGAACGACGACATGTAAAGTTATAGCGTGATACTTGAAATGTTAAGGATGAGACTGTTAAATTGTTTACGAGACAATCGGCATTGGCCGAAACGCGTGCTCGGCATCTCAAAACTATCCGCTTTCGAGTTTCTTAAAATCACGCATTCTAACTTATCGCATAATCAGCTATTAAGTCAATTGAGAAAACAAAGTCTAGACCCTGACGAGATCCTCGCGGAGCATCATCGGCAGCTTACTTGCGAGAAAGAACTTGCGCGTATTCTATGTAATCTCAACGTCAGTTATAGGATTATGAAAAGGTAATACGCTTTATGAACGAGTTACTTTGTAAGTTAACGAACCTGCCGTTACCGCAGGGCTTTTTCTTCTCGGAGTAAAATCCAAGACATGATTTCCCGAGTTCGATGCTCCAATTTACGACGAAAATCACAAATATTGTTAATTAATTAAATTTAAAAGATGCTTTATTTGTGATCGAATACAGAATAGGTGACGTGAAATGCGTAGATTGGGCCGATCTGGTGATCACAATCGGCGGAGATGGCACCTTTCTTTTGGCCTCGAAACTGATAACAAATAATAAAACGCCGATATTCGGCATTAATCCGCATCCCGGAATCAGTACCTTTACACTGCCGATTGAGTACAACACAGACATCGAAAGGATATTTGAGAAACTGTATGCGGGGGATTACACCGTCTTGATGAGGAGTCGTATACGTACAATAATGACAGGAGAAGGATTATATCAACAGCCCTTTCACATTCACGAAAAGAGTCGCATACAAGGCAAAAAAAGAGTCGAGTGAGTAGATTGATTTATTTTCTTTGACAGTACAAACGATTAACATAATTTTTTTCCATTCTATTAGAGCCAATGTGTTCTATACTGGAAGAATAACTTGCAAATTTGAAAAAAATATTTCTCTCAAAGGAATATTTCTCTTAAAGAAGTATCTCTCTTAAATCCATATCGTAACATTATTTATCTCGCTTTTCTTGTGCAGAATTGTGTTTCACATTTTATCTGCAAAATTGCTCAGTATTCCTCTCAGAAATGCAGTCGTCATTTTCACTTGAGTCGTAGAAGCGAGTTGGAGTACGTTATAGAATAATAGTATTAATAAATCAAGCATGCTAAAGCGAATATATATATATATATATAGGGCCGAATAAGGCGAGAAAGGTCTTACAAGGTTGGCGTCTTTCCTTTATTCACAACTGGAAAGGAAGTTTCTTCGGAACGATATTAACGTAACACAAAAAGATAAGGGCTTGAATGCTTTTTGATAGTCGGAGAATGATTTTGCGAGCACGGCTGCATAGCAAAACGAGAAATAACAAGGTTGACGGAATGGAGACGCATGCGTTCGCCGCCGCGTGCGGAAAACCGGCGCAAGAAACGTATCGTATAATTCCGTTAGCCCGCGTAGATAGAGAAACATTAAAGCGTCGGTCGCGAGGATGACGTCCCCCGTTAAACTTTTATTTACCGGCTACTCCCACGACGCAGTCTAAAGTTGAAATAAGCAGTCGGTATCGCCGACCCTCTGCGCCTTCGCGAGGACGTTACAGTGCGTCTTCATTGCCCAGCCCGACTTGGTCCTCTTCTCGCAACCGAAGTTCCGAACTACAGCTTATGCGCGTTATAACTTTGGTAGTTATAACTTGTAAATTACAAGGCCCGCGTAGTTACGACTTGCGCAAGGAGGTCGTAACTTTTGAATTCGCGCGAATTTTACGGTCTGCGATGCGGAGCTTCTTAAACCCTTATCGATTAACCAGAAAGAAAAACTCTCGAAAAGAATTAGTTCGACGATTAGATTTAATTCGACATTTCCGACGGGAAACAATTTAACCGTCGCACTTGATATTCCATTACGTCTCCATGTAATCTCTCTTTCTCTTGTAAACTCGCTCTCGCGTCTCATTAATTCCTTTCGAGTTTCGCAACGTCTCTCTAAAGGTGCGCTAAACAAATGAAATCTTTGCAGCGCACTCATGAGATCCACTCAGAGGAAAATAGCAGATGCCCTGCAGCCCCGTCAGAGAATTTTACCTTGGCTGGCATTAAATGAGGTTACATCTGACGTAAAACGTTTCTACGCCGCCCGGTCTGATCGATAACATTTATCACGTACTTCCAGGTGTTCATGGCCGAATTTTTGGCGTCGAGGCCGATCGTGTTGACGATTCAAGCAGATGAAGAGAAGAGGTTCATGATCCGTTCCTCAGGTATCTGTGTCTGCACGGGCTCAGGCTCTCGATCTTGGTTCAGGACGATGAATTTGCAGACCGCCGAAACCGTTCAAACGCTTGTGGCCATGGCAACTGGCAGGCAACTGGACGAGAAAGAAACCCGCAAAGTGTTACACAAGTATCACAGTAATCTTCTGTTTCCACCAGGTAGCGAATTACAAAATTAATTCTTCTGAATCTTCAATGACATTTCTCCAAGTAACCATTGAAGATTAATGGAGATACTACAGTTTAATATTTTATTAAATCAGTCTATATAATTTTTTAATAAAATTGGATTGATTTAATAAAAAAAATTAAATTATGATTACTAAAACATCAAATATTTGCGTTACAGACAATTTAAAAATGGTATATATGATATATGAGATGTCTCGAAGTCCACTCTGGCCAAAGCTTATTTCGGACAAACGAATGTGTTGCAGAATCAAAGTCAAGTCGACGGGTTTTGATGCCGGCCTTGTTCTAGATGGTAGCGTATCTTTACCTTTCAATGATGGCAGCACCGCGTCCTTCGAGATTCGACCCGAATACTCATTGAAAAATATTATTTTGCAATAAGTATCATATAGTCGTTATAACTCCGTATTCTATTGTTAATAATTTCTTTTCTTGTCCGGGGATAGTTCAATTATACGAAAAGCTCTTTTAATTCAATTCTCAATAGAGAAAAAATAAAAGGGTAATTATGCTGTAATCACGCCTTTCTTTTATTTTAAAACTTCTTTTAGAGCATATCGCTTGTATTGATGAATTTCTGATGGCGTAAGACCGATGCGGACTAAAAAATCCTTCTCTCGAGTCTACTACAGATTTATTGTTAAGTTCTCTCAGTAACGACAAACGGCTTAGTACATTTTATTTTTAGCGAAAAAAGCGGACCATTCTCCTTCTCCAGGACGACTTACAAGGTGAGACCCTTCTCGATATTTCCCCGTTTCCTTCTTTAATACGCGAATGAACAAGCTTCGCCCCGGACTTCCATTAACTCCGTAATTTCCCGAACCGCAGACACGCCTAGTTGTATCT